TGTTCTTAAATCAACCGATAAAATCAATGGTGCAGCCATTATTGACCAAATTGCCATTTGTGCACGTGACTGAGCAGGACTCAAACCAAAATTTCCAATTACAAGCTACAAAAATATTCAGTCAAAAATATTTCAAGAACAAAAATCTCAGTTAACCATATCTGGATCATTCCAATGTCCAGGCCCATGAAATGGTGATAAACGTTGTGAATTATTTCCAAACCATTGTATAATTGTATAAACACTTTCCCATGAATCATCAATATCATCCCAATTTCTCCATAAATTGCATGCTTGTTCAATAGCTGTATAATTTGGTGCTAATGCTGTACCTTCTTCATAAGCTGGCCATGAACATGAATATGCGATTGGATACCCAGTTTCATTCAATGCTTTTCCCATCGCTGGATAACCAACATCAAAGTCTTTTGGATCAGCATAACAACCATCTAATTTCAAATAATCAACTGTCCAATTAGCAAATGCTAAATACAAATTTGAGTGATTCAAAAATAAAAATATTCAAATTACTTTTTGCATCTTGTTCTAAATGTCCGAGAACACCAGGATAACCACCACAGGTATACGTACCATAATCTTCGTAGATACCAAATTTCAATCCTAATGAATGAACATAATCAGCTAATGCACGAATTCCACTGGGAAAACGTGTTTCATCTGGTTGCAATGACCCATCCTAAAAAACAACATTTTTATTTTTATTTTCAACATGTTTACATACAGCTGCACGACTATGATTTAACCAACAATCATCAATTATTATATACTTATATCCAGCTTCTAAATATCCACCTTGAACAAGTAATTCGGCTTGGGTACGGATTAATTTTTCACTACAAATTATTCTTTCTTTTTTCTTTATGAGAAATATTGATCTACCTGATACAGGTATCGGGGTGTGCTTGACAATCAGTTACACAACGAAATCTTTGCCATGTTAACCAACCCTATTAGATCAAGATAAATTTGTTTTATTATCAAATCAATTGTTACCATAGGTGGTTGGCGAAGAAGACCATTATCAAGTGAATTTACTTGATCACATAAACATAAAAATAGAAGAATATACGTCACTAAATAGTTCGTCCACCACATCTTGGTTTTCTCCAAATGGTATGAGAATAAACGAATACTTTTATCTCTTTTGTCGCAACAAGACAAGATAAAACTAATAGTAATATTTGTCTTGCCCGTGTCATCAAACATATATTCTTTCTTTTTTCTTATCAGTAGCAAAAAAAACGAATAGTTTCAATACAAATTAAATAATCAACGCCAGTTTGTTTCTTTTGTGATAAATAATTGAACAATTTGAATCGAGAAGATTGTTTTATTTTTCGACGAGATTATCGTATCTGTACATTTTTTTTTCCTAGAATCATTTACTGTTAGAATAAACATTTTTCGGTACAGATTATTGTTGTTATTCAAGCCTATATTTTTATCTTAATCTCATCGAAATAGTTCATACAAATTTATTCATGTAACTAAAAATGAATTTGAAAAGAACGACGATACAATCTTCTTTTCGTTATAGCTGCATCCATTCAAAATTTATTAACATATAATAATGACGACGGTGGTAATAGTCACTTTATGTTTTCGCGAATATTCGATATTAGAACAAAATATATCTTAGTATAACTCCCATAGATATATATATATATATATTAGTCATTAGAAAATCCTGAAACTTTCAAAGAAAACAAACATTCCTTTCTCAAGATATTCATTTACCCAAAAATAGCCCCTTACATTTGAAAAGAGTTAGAGTGTATACGGCCGGACATAATGACCGATTCTATTATGTACGAATACCTCTATCGAAGAAAATGATATTAAATGAGAGCTTGTGTCCTATGTCTTTGATTATTCATGAAAACGAAACATTAATCACGTTTAGAAAAAAAAGTGTTGTTACTGGTCGTAAATACAATGTGTTAATGTTTGATTAAATTAAGGAGCCGGGTAAAAGTTTCAAGAGTGTCTAATTTGTTCTCTGCAGAACAACACACATCGGTATAAGGATGATAATTATAACCATTATAACCACAACAACAATGACCAACACAATCACAGTAACCTGTATGACCAGGGCCAAGACCAACACGATAGCAAGTAGCATCACCACGCTTCACACCATTCTTCCAATCACAACACCTTTTACATTTTGGACAAGCACGACCGTGACAATCGAGTATTACTTGTCCTATAGTTTGATTTTGGTCTAAATAATAAGTAATGTCATTCATTCACCATTTGATTCCGAAATGATCTACAGTGTTTGATGGTAGGATAGGCTCAAACATGAAAAAAAATTCTATTATAAAAAAGACTAGCATGACACTATGAAATTTTCGATCTAATTGTTGTCTTTTCGAAGGTACAATGAAGTCTGAAAATGAACTCACCATTTACTTGTTGTTGGAGACATTCGGTGTAAGTAGGTTTTTGTTTGATATAAATAATCGTATTCCATTCTATCTGATTATTCTGCTCTGTGCATAACTCGATTTGAAATGGTTCAGATAATTGCTTTAGATCTTGAGTGAGTTGACTGACTGTTTGTTGTAGGTGTTTTAAATCGTGCTCGACAAAATCGCCGGTTTCTTTTAGTGAATTGAGATTTTGGCAAAATTTCTCAAATCGAGATTCTGTTTCCACTTTCTTTGAGTTTGGGAATTTGATGATCTGTTGTCGAGTTTGTTCAGCGGTGTTTTTTACTTTTTCAATAGTCTTTCTCTCCCAATCATCGATTTGTGTAAATAGTGCACTAGGAAAGTGATTGTCCTGAGTCCTCGTGTTTATTTTATCTTGAAGTTTGTTACGATCTTCGATAAACCCGTCTAATTCCTTGTCCATCTTTGCTCGATGATCTTCATAATCTCTTTTACAAAAGTACGCCTCGCATCCAATACAAAAGAAACTTCCTTTTCCTTTTTCACACTTTGAACAGTTCTTTGTAGAGTCCATTTCTGCAATAAGAGTCTCTAATCAGAGTTCTTAAATATGTCATTTATCGAAAAGCAAACTTTTTCATACTTACTTGCAACAAATAACAATCAGCGAAATGAATGTATGTCTGTTTATCGATCATACACGAAAAATAATCACATGTTAGTTTGCTTTCTCCTTTCGTATCGCTCGCTCACAGATGGAGGTAGCTCTCGATTTATTATTCATGGTCACTTACATGATTTATAATTTTTGTACTGTCAAAGATTAGGCGTGTCACTTATTTCCGTCAGCGGAAATATATCATATTTATTTTATTATAAAAACTTTCAAGAAAATGATAAAATAATGCCTTTCTCATTTAATATATGTTTCACTTATTTATCAGAGAATTTTTCAGCGTAACAATATTCAATTCTATGGACTGTATACACGATCTTCCACCCAGTATTGTGTTTTCTAACTTCTAATGATGATTTATGGTACCACTATTACTTCTATCCTTAAATAGCAGTTCGTAATTACTTGATATTTAGTATCGTACTTGAATCTGAAGGCGAAGAAAAGAAATGTTTATATATCAGAAATAATCATTTATCTTGAAGTTGTATATGTTATATTCAGACTTTGAAACAATATTTCTCCTATTTTTCCTATCATCATTATTTTATTTATACGCAGTTCTTTTGTGAAACAACGTAGTTTACATTATTATGGTTAGAGTACAGCTTACATGATTTTACAAGCTCTCTATTTCTTGTTCTGTATACATAAAACTTCATAGTAACATAAAATAAATAAAAGAAAAATAAGGAAAATATTTACTCGAGAAATTATTTTTCATTGAGGAAAAAAGTACATTAGAATGTGTTCTTATAATAAATCAATATTTAACTAACTTTGAAATACCAAAAATACTATTTATTTTAATTTATCTAATAAATACGGTGTTGACGCTATTCTACATAAATATAAATCTTGAAAGTAGGTATGGATTCAGAGAAGATAGACATAGTTACACCCACACCCATCTTCAAGATTCTATATGAATAATGTCGCAGTTCATTGATATATTGTATAGTCTATGAGATACATTTGAATTATTTTGATATTTATAGAAAACTTTATTTGCAGCTAAATGTTAATTGTATTTTCTTTTCAAATTCAATTTTGTTAGATTAATCGTTTTTCATCTTTTATATAACTCAAAAGCACTATTTATAAATATATTTGTCCTCAAAAAACATTTAAGCACGTAGGAAAATCATCTCTCCGAATAGATAAATATTTTTCAAAATAAAGAGAGACCTCACTACTTTTGTTTGATTAAATTGATAAAATGACTTCTAGGAAAAAGACATTGGGACTGTTTTTCCGTTTGATTAATGAAATAAATCCTGGAGAAAAACTGTGCACTAACCAGAGATGGGCAACTCCAACTCCGGAGTTAACTCCGGAGTTGACACTTTAACTCCTTGGAGTTGGAGTGGAGTTGGAGTTGACATCGTAGACAACGGAATTGGAGTTGGAGTGGAGTTGTGAAAAACTAGATAGAGTTGGAGTGGAGTTGGAGTTGGTGCTTTTTTCCAACTCCGATTCAACTCCGGTGAATCTCATGACTTGTAAGAAAACAACAAAAAATATCCATCAGAAATCGGCAAATTCAACTCCGGAGTTGGAGTTAACTCTGGAGTTGACGCTTTTTTATCTGGAGTTGGAGTGGAGTTGGAGTTGAGCCTTAAAAAAATCGATGGAGTTGGAGTGGAGTTGGAGTTGACATCGCAAAAACTGGAGTTGGAGTTGGAGTGGAGTTGGAGTTGAGCCTTAAAAAAATCGATGGAGTTGGAGTGGAGTTGGAGTTGACATCGCAAAAACTGGAGTTGGAGTTGGAGTGGAGTTGTGAGAAACGAGATGGAGTTGGAGTGGAGTTGGAGTTGCTTACCCCCGGAGTTGCCCATCTCTGGCAATAACTACTGAAAAAGAGAAAAAAAAAAGAACTTGTCGTTCGATAAATACTTTTTCTTCTATTACTAATTGAATTCATTTAATCAACTTAGAATTTAGTGGTTGATGGCTTCAACAAGAGTTTGTTTATGGTTTTTATTTATGATTATTACACAAGTAGTCGGAGAAGATATACAATCAATGATAATGTCTTTAACGATTAATTCCAAGTTTCAATGTGCAAATACAACTTATTTACCATTCATTAATATTATTACATCAAACATTAGAAATTGTCAACTAGCCTGTTTAACTCAAAGTCAATGCAGAGCAGCAACTTTTCATCGATCAACTTCTAATTGTGAATTATTTGATAATATATTAAACCAAAATGGAAATATGTTGACTGATGTGGATGCTACTAGTATGGATGTTATTAGTGGAGCACGATTCTTATCGGGTCAGTATATCTCTGAGAGAGAAAATTTTATTTTCTTGAAAAATATTTTCAAGTTATCGAGCACTAACAGAACTTGATAGAGATATTGAACACATTTGTGTGTAAACTATCAATCGGTTCAGCTTAAAATGGCAGAAAAAAACATTCAGTCAGAGCCTTTTCGGAAGCAATTCTTTTTGAACCAGACGATCGGTTTCGAGATTTATTTTTCGAATTCAGCTTTGAAAATATCTTAGTAAAACAAAATCTGTGTGACACTTGAGAATGTGGGCGTGGATACCAGAATTGGATATGAAAAACAAGCATTCTCTTATTCATAGTCACATCTTCATTGACACCCATCCTTACCGACATCATGACTAAGTTGTTGGATAGTGTATTAATTTCATTAGTTCGCGACATCAATAGAGCTCAAAAAATATCAATGGAGTCGTTTATAACATATTTTCCATTAATTTAGTTTAACACTATATAATGAATCTTATCTTATAATCATGAAAACAAAGAGCAGTTTATTGAAGGTTTGAAATCATTTCACCTGTCATCAATAGATAGACAACTTGTGTACATGAGAAATTCGAGATCATTTTAAGAACAACATTTTTTGTCTTATCTAGAATGGACAACCACTGGAAATATGAATGTCGCTCGATATATTCATACAGTATCTACATTAGCAAATGGATTAGTATTAGTTACTGGTGGATACAACCTCAGTGCTTATCTTAATAGTGCTGAATTGTACAATCCATCGACAGGCACTTGGACAACCACAGGAAACATGAGTGTTGTACGAGCACATCACACAGCATCCACATTAGTAAATGGATCAGTAGTAACTGCTGGTGGAACCAGCAGCGGTCGTTATCTCAATAGTACTGAATTATACCATCCATCAACGGGCGCTTGGACAATCACAGGAAGCATGAATGTTGCTCGAAAAGATCACACAGCATCCACATTAGCAAATGGATCAGTATTAGTTGTTGCTGGACAGAGCAACGGTAGTGTTTATCTTAATAGTGCTGAGTTGTACAATCCATCGACAGGCACTTGGACAATCACAGGAAACATGAGTATCGTACGATATCGTCACACAGCATCCACATTAGAAAATGGATTAGTATTAGTTACTGGTGGATACAACAACGTTACTGATTATCTCAATAGTCCTGAATTGTACAATCCATCGACAGGCACTTGGACAACTACAGTAAATATGAATATTGCACGAGATTACCATACAGCATCCATATTAGCAAATGGAAAAGTATTAGTTACTGGTGGAAGCAACAGCGGTGGCGCTCTCAATGATGCTGAGCTGTACGAATCGATATAGACAGAATGACATTTTCTCTTGTGAACTGAATCATAGTTTTTTTTTATATATAATCAAACTATTTAACTATTCACCAAACAATATATGAGTTGCAGGAATATCTTGAAAACATATTGTATGGCGATTGTTGAAAAAGAGCCATGACTGATAAAAGGATGAGTGTAGATATTATACTAATCCCACATCTACATCTTTTAATTCATTCCTCAATCATTCTTTCAAGATTCGACGATGGCACATTCCTAGATCGTGAAACTACTGCTGGTGAGGGTGTGGGTGTGGATGTGGGTGTAAGTGGTGAATGAGAAGAATACAAACACCCACACCCTCAAAATATTTTATTTAATTTTTCTAAGCCAATTTTCTTTGAATTCTTTTAATTTGATTCATTCAACAAAAATGCTATCTGAATTATTTTATTCATTTTGGTCTTTTAATTCAAGATTACAATTAACAAATATTTATTTACTTTTCTAAGAATAAACAACAAATTTATTTATTTTTGTTGAAGATTTTCCCTAAATTAATGTTTTTTGTTTATTTTCAAAAATGAAAATTGAAATTTTATCGAGTTAAATTAAAAATATTGTTAATTTCATATTTTTTCATATTTTTGAATTCTATGATTCTCATAATCAACAACATAAAGATTTTCTTCACTATCAAATGATAAACCCATGGGATAATTCAACTGATTTGGTTGATTTCCTTTACCGTTTCCACCAACAACAACTTCACCTTCTTCATCTCCTTCACACCAACGCATTACTCGATGATTCCAACAATCTGCCACATAGATTTGGCCCAAATGATCAACAATCACTCCTTCAGGGTGATTCAGTTGTTTGAGACTATTTCCTTTATCATTTCCACCAGCAGCAATAATTCCTTCTTTTGCATCTTTTTTCCATTTCATTACACGATTATTTTCTTTATCTGATATATAAAGAGAATGATCTTTATCAATAAAGATATAAGTAGGATCATTGAGTTGATTAAGATGATACCCTCTACTATTTCCACCTGCAACTAATTCACCTTTTTTATCTCCTTGTTTCCATCGTCTTACTTCATCATTTTCACAATCAGAAGTATAAATAAATCCATTTTTATCGATTGTCAAACCCCAACAATCAATATTTGAAATAATAATTTGTTGACTTGTTTGATTTTGACCAAAATATCGAATTACTCGTTTGTTTTGCCATTCAGAAATAATAAAAGAATTATTTTTTTGATCAAAAATTATATTTGTTGGATAATTCAATTGATTATTTTGATTTCCACCTGCAATGATCTCACCCTTAATCGAATTCAATTTCCATTTAACAATACGATGATTATAAAAATCAGCAATATAAATTGATTTATTATTATCAATAAAGATCCCATAAGGATTAGAAATTTGATTTAATTCCTGTCCTTTTCCATTTCCTCCAGCAACAGTAATTGCAAATTGTTGAAATTTATTCTTTTTTGTTTGAATTTCTCCTAAAATAAAAGATTTTCTTTTGATTCAAAACTTTTTCATTATTTTTAAATCAAAAAAAGGGTGAAAATAAGAAAAAAACTTGTATTTGAATTTGTTTTAATAAAATGAAATTTTCTTTTTTGTTAGGTTTAATTTTTAATGAACAAAACTGATTCTAAACAAATTGTTTATTCTCTCAAATTTTTTAATTAAAAATTCTTTATTTGATTTTCCATAAAACTTTAATTTCGGAAAATATTTTTAAATGAAAATCATTTTTATTTCAATGACTTAAATAAAATCGGTTAAAAACTTTGTTTTATTAATAAATTGAATAATTCTTTTATCTGGAAATTCTAACCTAAATAGTTAAACTTAAGTTTAACTTATTCAACAATTTAAAAAGAAAATCTTTTCACTCAAATATGAAAAGAGATTTTTCAAATGAAACAAAATATAAAAGTTCCATTTGTTTTGAGGAATTTATTTACATTTGAATTTTAAATTAAAATAAATCTTCCAAAAAAACAAAAAAGATAATGATTTTATAAAAAATTGTTAAGTAATTATTCTGTTGAAATAATATTTCGAATTAATTCTATTTAAATTTCTCTAAATATTTTAAAATGATTAATTATAAAATATTTCGTATCGAATTTCAATGAATTTAAAATATGAAACTAGAAATAATAGAAATATGAAAGAGAATATTTGAAATGTGATTGATCGAAAGAAAATAAAATTCTTATTGAATTCTAATCATTTTAATAATTAAAAAACGAATAAAAATCGATTTGATTTTTATTTAGAAAATTTGAATAATTTAAGAAGAAAATGAAATTAGTTTTAATTTTAAACAAAAATAATTTAATCGAGAACATAGTTTTCTACCTATAAAATACGAAATGGAATTCATTTATAAAAGAAAATTCATTTGATTTTCGAAAACTCAATTCTTTTAGATGTGGGTGTTGCTATGGATGCAGTTGGTGGGTGAGGGTGAGTGTGGGTTTCCTCTATACGTACACCCATTCTTAGGCGCTCCCTGTCCTTTCTTTGCTAAACCCTAGGGATTTCTCTGAAAATTCGTCAGCGGAGAGTTGACTATGGATAGTAAGATCTAACAATCTGATAGATACAGTTCTGAAACATACTGCTCGGGATCCGTGTAGTTTCACAGTTCCTTCAGAAAGAAAACACACCAACAATAGTCGTATTAAATACGTGTACAAGTGTGAATATCTCATTTCTAAGATTGTGATGCTTTACAGAAAAAGCTACCCCATAATTATATGCAAAAATTTCAACATATGTAGAATTTAGTTCAGGATTTTAAGAAAATTCATCCTTTGAAAAATGAGGTGGAATCATAGCTTTATAATTAGTAAGTAGTTTTCTACCAAAGTGTGCTCCATTTAACATTTTATATTTCAACTAATAAAATAGTTTTTCTCTTACTCGGTGCTGGTTTAATCTGTACAGATTGATTGAAAACCGGTTGTAAAAGAGTAATTTTAGGCTTTGTTTCTTTTAGTTGAATCATGTGAAGGCCTGGTGCTGGTCGAAGGCAACTTTCTACAATAAATTGTCGAGCAGGTAGAAGAAGAACTTCTTTTTCCTTTTGATAATACGAATGACGACTGATATCTTTGCCACTATCACATTCGATAGTAAACAATGTTCTTTGACCAGTTTTGCCTAAGAATTGTTTGTTTTCGAGTACCCCTATTGACGTTGTACATGAAGAAAATCCCCACCAGATAAATGTTTTTCCTGCAGTATATTGATTAGTTAAATCTAAATTCACTCCACGAAACACATGGCATCGTGTGGATGGTAATTTTTCGAGTCCTGTAAGAATAAGTTTCAAATACGAAAACCATGGTTCTAATGTTCGCCTGTCTTCGGTACGAAGAGCTGTATTGAGGGCAAAATATAAACATTCTTTATGCGGTTTCCATTCCATGGAGTAAAGCATGATTGACGCTGATTCATCCTGTGTTAAATCATCGGGAGGTACGGATTTACATCGTTGTTTCGCAACATAAGTATAATCTTGAATTTCAGGTAAAATCGAGATAAGTGGTGTAACAGCTTCTTCCAATGGCACTATTGGCATTTTTTCATACCCTCGAATTGGCATGAGCATCTGTTGCGATTCATTGGCAATATCTGATACACGTGTATATTGTTGTGGATCAGCATTTCCACCTGTAGCCATGTTTATATGCAAGAATATTTTCGAGTAACAAGCACAATAAATAGTCTACAAATAAAATAAAAAGTTGTTTTAAAATTAACATCATAACTAAATTTAAATAAAAACTATTCATGTGTTAGACTCTCTGATTTAGAGTCGGTGTGGGTGTGACATAGTCTTGTATTCATCCACGCCCACACCCCATCTCTGTGGCATCTTTAATCATTGAAAACTCATAATACTGGTCTGGGAATCTAATTAAACTTTAAGCTTATGAGAACTTTCGTGGTTAATGTGGGCAACAGTTCGTATAAGAATATTCATTTAAACTCTACCTCACGCACATTGATCTCAAAAAGAAAAAAAAACGCTGTAAAAGACGATAGGTTGAGTAATTTTTACTGACTTTGGTTATTTATGAATCACTTGCTATTCTGTCTTTTTGAGTTATATATTGGTAGTAGTTTCTTTCGTCGGAACGAATAAAAATATGCACAGCACACATAATTCGCCTTTTATATATGAAGCTGAATCAATTCTTTTATGTTGGTTGTAAAAGAATGACAAACAAGGTTATACATCCAAGTCGGTAAAAAGTATTTGTTTTGCTTCTATTGACGATGATATTCTTTATCTTCATAGAGTTTGTTCTCTGTTTGCAAAAGATAACAACAAAAATCTTGCAGTGTGAGTATAGATGTAGATAATGGATTGAATTTAACCATTTCGAGGGTGTGGATATTATATTCACTCATTTCGTACAGTCAAACATACATCATTGATGTAGCCAAGGCGAGGAAAATGGGCAGTTAACTATTTCATCTGAAGCTTAGCCCATTTAAATTTTACTTTTTTGAAATTGTTTATATATTTTCGAATACGATAGTAACTGAATGTTATTCTTCTGTATGAATCATATGCACTCTCTGCTTATTCTTCTTATGAAGAATAAAGAGAAGAAGAACAAAAGGATCGCTTCTTGTATTTTAACTTTAAGTTTGGTTGAACATGAGTATGATGTCATTAGAAAAACATTAGCGAAATGAAGGACTTGCTACTGTGTATACTGATGAAGATCTCGATGTAAATTCAAATGACATATCGAAATTGTGTACGTAAGAGTGCGGGTGTGGATAGTAGTATGTGTCATCTACATGCACGCGCACACCCACACCCACCATTAAAAAAAAACAATTTATTTTCTTTAATGAATCTTTTTATTTTGACATATAACACAATATTTTTCAAAATCTGTTGGATTGCCGGACAACTCCAACGATAAACTTCTATTTCAAATTAATCCTCGAAGGTACTCTTGCAATTTAGGTCACATTTGATTGTCGTCGACGTTGAGTGTTGTAGGTGTCTATATAAAATAAAGAAAATAAATATGATCGAGATGAAGAGAGATTGCTTTTTTTTTCTCTTACTGTGTTCTTTTGTAATCCTTCACTAGGATACTGTGGATCTTGAGCTTTGATTTGATTGTAGATGAAAACGAGTGTGACGAGTGTCTATATAATATAAGAAATATGAATATGATCGAGATGAAGTGAAATTGGTTTTCTCTTACTATATTCTTTTTTAATGCTGCACCAAGATACCGTTCACTTTTGGCTCCAATTTGATTGGCGGACAGATAAAGTGTAGTAAGTGTCTGTATGAAAGCAGGAAGATGAATATACTTAAGATGAAGTAACATTAATTTATCTCTTACTGTGTTGTTTTTTAATGCTTTACCTAGATACTGTGCACCTTTATCTCCGATTCGATTGCTATGCAACTCGAGGGTAGTGAGTGTCTATATGAAATAAGAAAGATGAATATGATCGAGATTGTTTTTTCTCTTACCGTGTTCTTTTGTAATGCTTCAGCAAGATACTGCAAACCTTTGTCTCCGATCTGGTTGCTTTGTAGCTCGAGGGTAGTGAGTGTCTGTATGAAATAAGAAAGATAAATATGATCGAGATGAAGTAAGATAGATTTTTCTCTTACTGTGTTGTGTTGTAATACTTCACCAAGATATTGTAAACCTCTGTCTCCGATTTGATTGCTGAAGAGGACAAGTTTAGTGAGTGTCTATATGAAATAAGAAAGATGAATATAATTGAGATAAAAATAAACTGTTATTCATCTGAAATCCACTAGTTAGTTATCGCTTTCATTTCTCTTCAAAGGTTTAAAAGAGATTGTTATTACTCATAAATATTCAAATAAAAAGCATTTTTTCTTTTTTGTCAAATTCAGTTTTCTATTAAAAACTTACATAGGAGTTTTTTCTTTCAGTTTATTGATTAATTTTTGTAGATTCGAGTAAAAATATCAACATAAATTCAAATATTTTACTTTTTATCCAGATGAATTCGTGAGAACAGCTTAAATCGTTTCATGCATTAAAAAGAAGAATTATTCAAAAATCGATAATTGAGTAATCGTGATTACCTACTATTTTTATTTTAATAAAATCAACTATGTCCTCATTCTCTTTGCTAGAATCAAACAAATACAATAATACTTTACCTCGTTGTTTTGTAATAAATAATAAGCTAAAATTTCCATATCATCATCAGCCAACCTCTTATTGTTGAAAGATACGGTTGATCTATTTTTGATAATGTCGATCCTTAGTTCAAGTGCTGGATTTCTATATGTAGGTGGTTTTGATAATAAACTTGTTTTCTTTGATTCTAAATAGATACACATAAAAATCTAATTTATAGATCAAAATATTTCAATGAATAAACATAGTTTACTACAGTATTCATACTATGACTTTACATCTTCTTCAAAAATTCCATCTTTAATTCAATGTAAAGAGTAATAATCATATAATATTTTTCATCGAATCTAATATATAAACAAGTGTGTTGATAAGCGAATGAATTATTTACTATATAGTACAAAAGGCCACGATCGAATTGTAATCTACTTCTAAGTCTCTTCGCTTCACCGCCAATAAATTTTATAAACTGATTTTTTTTCTTATTTCTTTAATTATTTTTACATGAAATAGTACAAGAGATTATTCTTACTTATAGGGTATAAAAAATAAAAACGTAAACCTTTTTCTATTATTTTTTGTTTTTGTAGGTAAAAGAAAATAAAAAATTAAGACTTCATTTGTTCAAAGTAAAAAGAAAGAGTTATATAATTGCTATAATATCTAAGAAAATTTTGTGACTCCTTTCTAACATTAAAATTCTTAATCAAATTTTCATGTATTTGAATAACGAAATAATTTTACCTTGATTGTTCGTATGACCGATAGATGATGCCATTAAATCTAAAATACATTGATAAATATAGAAACAGAATAAAGATTTTTCTTTTCACAACGTATTTATTAAACATTCTATTTTATCACTGAAATCGTTTAGATCAATAACTTACTAAAATCAGATTGTCGAAATAGAACGAATTGTAATAATCAGCTGTTGTATATGTATCACAATATGTATTATTTTCAGTAAATAATTGGTTCGTTAATTGGGGTAAAGGTATGTAACTCTTGAATGATCTGTCTTTTCTTACAACTAAACAAAAAAATTTAAAGTAAAATATTCAAGAAAAAGAAAAACATATTCTACTGGATAAAAGTATTTTGTGAAATACGAATACTTTCAACTAATTACAAATTCTCGAGACTACAGATGAACGATGAAAATGTTCTTGAATAGCATCGAAGGTTATAGACTCTTTTATTTCTCATATATCCAATGAATAAATAGAAGTATAAGTTAAATATAACAATTGTACATTCACTCATGCATAAAATTACTGATTGAAATTATTAAAAGATTAATATATAGATGATATTTTTTTTATCACATACATAATTATTTATAGATATCGATTTTAAATCAATAAACTTCATCATTTTCGTCTGTCAGTATTGATAAAGCTTAAAAAAATATTTGTTTCATAAAACTAAACATTTCAGACCATCAAAAAATTCTATATTCATTAGAATATTTATTTAGTAAATAAACACAAGGATTGAACAAAAAATGATAAGAAATCTCCATGTAACAAACCTATACCGTTATTGAATTAAGCAAAACAAAACATTATACGTACGTCAAAAAAATATATTTGTAGAAAATAACATAAATCATTACCAAATATGCATTTGACAAAATATTTTTCATTGATTCATATTAACGAATTACCTGAATAATATCGAAGGTAAAAACGTGGACGGTAATGTGGCGAAAGCATTTAGATCGAAAATAAATATATTAAAAGCAATTAGGCCAAAAACAAGAACATCGAAAAAGGAAAGAATCGAATAATAAAACGTCGAAAAGTCAAGATATTGCTAATCAGATTGTCGAAAGTATAACTGTCACAAAGTAAACGTTTCTATAATATAAAATTACATAATTTTCATATTGATATAGACTGATTCGAAAAAAAAAATATCTTGAGTGTTAATGTGAAATGATAACATCACTCACTTCCAAACCACATTCACACTTGTTGTTACATTTCTATTACCTGAATATAATATATAAAATTCAATTCGAGCTGATGAAAGAAATATTTATTATAATTACAACAAGAAATAAACGAACTAATATAATAATATTAACTCTTTAGAGTAACACTCTTTTCAAAACATTCAAATAAAATAATATCATTAGATATATGATTGAGATTTAATTCTATTGTGTTAATTAACATCTAAAATTATTGATGAAAACTCTTATTTGTTAGATTTGTCATAGTTATAAAGTTCATAATCTATTGTAATAAATCAAAGATGATGGAACTGTTTTAACTCATTGATAATAAAATCAATAGGAATTAATTCTTTTTTAAATTCGAACAATTACTGAAACTATCAGTCAAAACAAAATCCAAGAGAAATATTTATTAAATAATAATGTAATAAATAGTCAGAAACAAATTCTTATATGAACTATGCATACTATAGATGAAAGTTATATATATGGATTTATTTTACTAATTTTTATAAGAAAATGTTGCTCTGGCAGACTAGTGTTACCACCAACCCGTACGATTTCGTCATCGCAACATGTTTTAATCATATTAAGATTATTTACCTCTTGGTAAGTTTGTAATAAGCAACTTGTCTCGACAGTCTGTAGTGCACGACATCTACTATGTCTTTACACATTTTACTTTTTTTTATGTTCTATCAGTAAAATATTTAAAAAGACAAAATAGATATCGTGCATCATCTACTATCAAGAAAAGTTGCTTATTACAACTTACTAAGAGGTAAATGATCTTGACTGATCAAATATATATGTTGCAATGACGAAAGTATGCAGATTAATGACAACGTTGATCTGCCAGAGCAACATTTTTTTAAACAAAGACTAAAATTATAATATGATTGTTTGTATATCTATTTTGATTCATCACAAACATCATGAAATCTATATTATAGCATAATATTAATTAAATGCAAAGTAAACAGTTTAATTACTGAAAAAATTAATTTATAAAAAAATAAAATTTATATAGATGATTATTAATTCTCAGCTTTTTCAGTAGGATCAACTTGTAATATCTGTTTTCATCAATTTTAAAATCACTAAGACAAAGCTATATTGTCTCAATATGAAAGTGTAGCTGAATGATGATTAAATCCATTTTCTATGTGTAATATTCATTTAAAAATGATATTATAATAATTATCAATGATAAAAGAATTCAAAGAAATTATGTTGTATTTTTTAATTTTACTCGAAAACATAAGAATAACTTGAACATTCTACAATATATATGTGAATGCTTATTGGAACTATTTATCTATCTATCTATACAGTCTATTCTAATTGATGTAGATCTTTACTAAAGTAAATATTTTTCTTATTTAAGTTATTCATACTTAACAATCAATGCAATCAGTGAAATTAAACAAGAAGATGTATTAGGCTTACATATGAATATTCTACAACTTTGATGAGAAAAGTATAGTAAATAATTTTCTTGTTATTTATTATCTATATTTGCTTCAGTTGAAATTCAACTTCATTTTTAAACTGATCGAGAACGTGTTTCTTTAATTAAATTATTTTTATCGAAATTAAAAATTTTCTTTTTTTTGAAGTAACATCAAAAACGAAGTAATGAAACATCAAGTATGTCATTTATCTTAGATTCACATGAAGAAAATACAAGAAGTAGTTCATATTTTATTTATTTCGAGTGTGGGTTTGGGTGGAGGATGTAAATGAGGATGTGCGTGTAGTTGTTGGTAGTCTAAATATAATACAGTTCTTCTAAATGATCACCCGGCAAGTCTGTTATTTCAATTTAAACAAAAGTCGAAAGTTCATCTTATTCAATCAAATAACCACAATTATCCGCGACTACATTTAAATGTCTCCACGCAATTGTTCTCATCGTTAAATTGGGGTCTTTGGCATCTTCTCTGATTTCGCCACCATTGTATGACTATCGGACAAATGCAGCAGCTCTAAAATATGAAAGTATGAACATATTTTGATGAATATGATTTTACCAGTAGAATAGCGATACAAACGCCAACAACAATCACGAAAATAACTACAGCAACCAGAGCACAAACGGCTGCGACACCAGCTAATCCAAGAAAAATTAATACCATGTATTCGAACTGAAAGATTGATCAAACAAAATTTATCAACTGATATATATATCAAGACAAAGTGACGATTTTCTAACGTCAAGTCGAAAAAAAATAAGTGATATACAATAGATTTTTCTTTTCTAACTATACTCCGTTGACTATATTACATGTACAAGACTAAATGTGTATAGAGAAAAAAGTGAAATAGAACAAGATGTAAGACACTTTTTCTTTCTTGATGGCCTATTTAAATCTCTATTATAAATGACTCATCATCATCATCATTATCGACAACGATGATATGTTATATCTCCAAACCGTACGCGAAGAAATATAGAATAATACGAAAGCCGTAGAAAAGCTCCGTGTGTCAATAAATGATCGTATTTCTGTGTGTACAATAGCAATACTTGCGGATGTGAAAAACCATATTTCTTCAATTAGAAATGTGTTTGTTTAACATGTGTTAATATATTGGCAGCGATTTGATAATAGTTGAAAGCAATCAAATATGACGAAATATGATAACAACAAAACAGAGGCGCCCCGATGACTACAAACCAAGAGATCATACAATTTATCCAATATAGATAAGTCATCTTCTACAAAACATAGGAAAATGGATGTTAGTCAAAGTGTAGAGAATACTATCATCATCAATATTGGCTGAAGATAAAATCATTAATAGAGTTTTATTTTAGTTTTTTTACAGTATTTTTAAGCCCATCTATTCTTGAAAATATGACAATAATTAATATTAAATTATATCAAGATACAAAAGAGTTCGAAGAAATGAAATAAAATATTGCTATGAATATAATATATTAAAAACATTTTCAGAATGTTTCTTGTTTTAGTTATTGGTCAAGATAATATGTAGAATTCGAAAATATTGTAAAATTATATTTCTTCATATTTGTGCAATAAAATTATTGTTCTTTTTTTTGCTAAAAATATTTTTATTTGAAATATATTATCAACTACGTATACTAAATATATGCAAAAATGTTCTTTTTATTCTAGTAGACTTAATATATTCTCTATTATATATATATTTGATATTATATATAAGACAAATGAATTATAATCGAATTTTTCAAATAAGAGATAGAAGAATATAAATAATATATATAAACAGTTAGTTTTGATAGTTAAATAGAGTGATAAATGGTACAGGCTTGAAAGAAATTTTTTTTATTTTACCATAAATAATAATAATATCTCAAAGATTTAAGATTAATATAAATGACAAGAAGAAAATCTAAATTTTTATTTTCTTTGATTAAGAACCTTATTATAGTAGTTTATGAAAAAACAAATCAAATATTAAAGTTTTACATATATGTAAAAGATGTATAATATCATTCAGTAATTAAGGGCATATCTGAAATGATGATGTTCCATACGATTTCCATCTGATCATGTCAGATCAGATAGGATCAGACGTATGATTCTTGTAAGATCTTATTATTGGATTATCCAACTTGAATAAAGATGACTAATAAATCAAGACTCGTGACAATACTAAAAAAATTTTATTTCAATTTCTCTTTGAATTAAAAATGAATAGAGATTCTTACATTATTCATCTTTGTTATTCAATTCTTAAGATCAAAACTTAAACTAATAGTAATTTATAATAATCAAGTGATAGATGAATTTAATTATTAACTAAGATTTATTGAATAGAAGAAA